CACATAAGGAGACATGCCCTTTTGTGACATACTGAAGCACACATGTGGAAACATTCATAATTTAAACCAGTGCTTTAAACCATGGATTTGAAAGAATAGCTATTTGGTTTCATTCACAAAATATGCATTAATGTGGTCAAGGTCTGTCATTTTGTGGGTAATTCTCATTTGCAGCTTTTGTTGTGGAATTGAAATGCTTTCCTTGCTCAAATTGGCTCTCTACAGATGCTCTACAAATGAAATCAAGATTCAGCTTTTGAGAATGATGTTGCTTTTCAAAATTAGTATCTGATTTTGATTTAGCTGGGAATAATACAGTTATATTGGTAGTACAAGAGCAAAGCATCTTATAATTTCTTGACCTGTTAGTCGATTTACAGTATAAGGAAGTGCTTTAAATATAGGGTTTAATAATGTTCTTGCTGTATTACTGGGAAGGTGTTAGCTGAAGGTATTGTAGATAAGGCAGAAAGTTGAGGCTCTAAGAAAACTTATTTTGCTAAATCCAAGATTTGTTTGGTGAGAAAATTGAAAACAATAAGCTTGCCTGAAATAGTTATTAAACTTAAGGAAGAGTAACTTGAATGAAGTTACAGTTTAAATATGTTTTTTGTTTAGAGTTTTATGTAACAGGCAGATTCTTCAAGACAGGTCCCATCTGTTTTGACCCAGTGAACCAGAATGTCTTAGAGAGCTCCTCAGAAGGTATATTTTTCTGGGACTCATAGCAAAGCATAAAAACTCTGGCTGAGATCACGTAATAAAATTTGAAGACAATATGGTATGTTTTGGGAAAATAGTGAAATACTTGGATTCATATCAAGAGCTAGTCTAGATTCTGTACCTTACTGGTCATTTGGTCTCCTGAAATCATTGAACCTCTCTGAACATTTATTTTCTCATGCTTCCCCATCAGAGTTAATAGTTTGGGAAACTGACACGAGGGTGTCCACAGAAGCACTTTATAATCTACATCTTCCACACCACAGGATGACCTTGTCATCTTGGTCACAGTTAGTGGAATCCCTTGAAATAATAATCTTACATATTCAATATATTCTTTTATTTTACCATTCAAAGCTAAATATTTTTCAAAAACCATCTGGGTGCCAATCAGAAAACATGCTTTGGGATGTCATTTCTGTAGCAACCAAGCAGAAAAGGCAGGTTGGCAACAGCTGGCCAAGACCTCAGATCTGAGTTAGACTTGGACTGATGTGAACTAATGGGAGGGGATGCTCTGGGGCAAAGCCAAGTCCACGAAGGATAACAGCAGGGTGGTACACATACAGAGAAATTAAATTGCATTGACAACAGATGGAAAATGAATGCCTATGCCTGTGTTTGCCTAATCGGGATGTAGAAGTGATAAAAATCACAAGCTGAACATAAATCCAGCATAGATTCTAGAGCAAAGGGACATACTGGGCCTTGGAATACACAAAAGAATTTGAGCTCTTTTATTCTTCCATATTTAGTGAGAGTGAGCCCTCTCTAGGGAACTGAGTTCAGTTCCTGGACCCTTTATACCATAGAGCATGTTCAAAACAAAATTAGAAAATAAGCATTTAATGCTTAATGTTTGTTTTTATAAAGCACTTTTGAAAAACACTTTTGATAAAAGGACTAAAAACTGAGAAGAGAAAATGAAGAACCCCTTATGTGACTACTCTTCTTACTGAAGAGTAAGCCTGGGAAAGTGTATTACTCAGCCATTTGGATTATCATCCAATTCTGTCAGGAAGGGTCATTCCTAGCACCTTTTCTCAGTCCTGAAATAGCAAGAGGCCTCTGATCATACATTCAGCAGTTATTTTTGGAATACCATTGAACATGCCAGATATGATGCTAGATAAATGCTAAATATATAAGAAGGAGCAAGGCAGAAGAGCTTCATGTTCCCAGAAAGCAATGGGTCACCTATCTAACTTGGAATATGCAATGAAAGTGATCAGAAGTGTCCACGACTCTTCTCATGGTGACTGCAGCTCTTATCTTTATTAATTGGAATTTCTCACCTCTTGACCAAGACCTTGTAACCACCATAAAAAAAATGGTTAGAATAGCTTGGTGGAAGATGAGGAATCATTGGAAGCTGCCACTCTTGCTGGGATCAACCTAGATCATACAACTGATGGGTGATCTGTCAGCAGCAGATCACCACAATGGAAGTCCATTCAAAACTAGAAATACTGCCCAACCGGCCCAAATTAGGTCATATTATCGCTGAAAGGTTATTTTAAGGCACTACACTTTGGAAGCTTTGTTAGGGAGCAAAAACTGACAGAGTAACCCTTAAACAGGTAAGTATGACTCAAAGTTTATGGGGGGGGCACAGAATTTTTCTCATACGGTTTATCAAATTACCTTGAAAACTGTCAACTCTTCACTGGACTTTGCGCTGTATAGACACGCCCTCTGCGTACAGTTGTCAGAATACAGACACCCTGGGAAGGTTTGATATTGGATCTCTGATCTGCAGAATATGAAGTGGACTAATGTGCAGGAGATGCGACATATATAGTATAATATATTTCTTGGAGAGAATACAAATATACAGGCAGGACATGAATATCGACAACAGTTGCAAACTTTACATAAGCAGTTAGAAAAAGTTAATGAAAATCACGTTAGCTTTTTTTCTCAACACGATGGATGATGATGTAGAAGAAATCATTCAAGTACTTAATCTTTGCAATGAATCGATACAGCTGATGAACACATCTATAAAGTATCTGATCTTTCCTTCAAATAATTTTATTATTTTGATGTTATTGAGACTGTCACTAAAGGCTTAGGAGTCGTTGCAGAGTGTTGTCTGCATGTAACTGCCTTGAGTCAAACAATGGCACATCAGTGGTGATTACTGAAAAGGATCTTTGATTCATCTTAATTTTCAAATAGGCTGAAGTGTTTTTCCCTTACTTCCTGGCAGCCGGCCTTCTGTGTCCAGCTCTCCCAGTTGGGCGTTTTTTGGGAAAGCAGCCAAGGCTAATGTATTTCTGCTGTTATCTGACACTGATGCCGCTTCATAGAGGCCAATGGAGGGAGATAAGCCCTAATTGGATGTATTTTTAAAGCAAACCTTTTAGTTACTTAGAACAGAGCTTCCCAATTAGCTTCCTTTCTCCTCTCTCTGGCTGTGCAAGCACCACACTAATGTGAAAATGTTGGATTTGGAAGAGAATCAAGGACAACCCCAGGGGGCAACTGGAGGGCAATCAACTGAATTCAGGGGAAGTTCTGCCCCCAGGCAGGCTGGATTTCCAGGAGAGCAAGGCAAGAGCAGAGCACTGAGGGAATCCAATGTGACCGCCATGAAAAGACTCCAGTGTGGTCCCAGGAACCATTCCTCTAGCCACATCCTAAGCACTGTACATGAGAGGGTCCCAGGCAGCATCCCACTAGACACATCCTAAGTACTATATATATAAGGGGGGGGAAGGTCAGGGGAGAAATAATCCATATTTATCATGGCCCTCATTTGCTCCAGTGGAAATATTTTGCTACTTTGCCAAAATACTCTAACTCTAGTTTTGCCCCGAGGGTTTCAGAGTGCATTCTCTCATCTATTATTGACAGGTAGGAGAAAACTCACTCAAATCCCAGCCCTCTTTAAGAGTGCTCACAAGATTTTGATAGTTTCTGAGTAGGAGGGCTGCTTAGTTAAAGAATCAGGTATGGAGGCAAAACAAAACAGTAAAGAAGCAGAATAGAAAAACACTTCTGCTCGGCTTTTTTTTCCAAACTGGAATTAGAAGTGAGACATAATAATGTGGATTCTTTCCGTTCATTGGAAGTGGTTCTACCATCCTTAGTTCATCCACCCAAGGGACTCTAAGTTCCTGTGTTCAGGTAAACGTTACTTAATGTCTTTACTATGAGGACTGATGTTTCTCCTGGAGACCCATCTGGGTCACATTACTCTAACCATCGCGGTCAGCTACAAAATAAAGGGTGGACCTGAGCTGTGGGGGGGGGGGGGGATGTAGGGTGGGAAGAGAGGACAGCAAAGGAGCTGTGGAGAAGCAAATGATCTCTGTGATAGCCTGGATCTTCCACTGGTCCATCTGTGAAACTGTTGATGGAAGCACCAGTATCTCAGTCCTGCACCAGTACACCCAGATCTGCCCACTTACACAGCATGTAGGATCTTTTTTTTCTAAGGTTCTGACTTAAGAATTTACCTCAAAGGACATTTGAATTTGAGTTCTACATTTTCAAATTGTACTGGCTGCTATATTTGCATGTTGTCACCTTCTGAAAATGCACTTACTTAAACTAATATTCAGTGATATGTTTGCTCTAAGGACAGAATGCAAATTTTGCAAACCCATAGGTTATAAAACTAATATTAACATAGAGATTTTTTCTCTTCCCTTCTCTTTGCTATCCCACAGGATTATAATTTGTTGCATCGTCCATGCAGACCATCTCCTGTTCTAGTTTGTGCCTAGAAATATCTCTATAAGTGATCACTCCTCCCTCTTTTAACCCTATCTGCTAGGACAACTATAAGCAATCATTTAAATCTGACAAAGTTATATGTTTGATATTTATTCTAGAGTTCAGATACAATAATGCCCAAATCAATGGTTTAACAAGGTGTACCCAATGTTGGGGATTGTCCAATACCCCTTTTCTTCTTTGCTGTGACACTAATTAGCTGGAAAATCTTGCACCCTTCATGGCAGAGGGGAAAGTTCTGGCCTTGTTAACCATAAGATGGGGGCAGGATCACCTTATTTGAGGGGAACAGGTCTATTGGGATGACATATAAAATAGGCAATGTTACTGGGAAAAAAATAAGAATCAGGAACACTTATACAATTATACCAAAATCATTTTGCATGAAAGAATAGACTGTGGAAACTGTCTAGTTACTAGACTGTTTCCTGTAGTTACTATCTCTTTCTATTGGATTCAAATATTGGCTTAGTACAAAGCACAGTAATTTCTGTCATCCCCAGTAGGAACACCAGATTTTGGAAGTCGCATACCTGGTGGTTAGTCCTATCCACTGTGTTGGCCGTGGAGGGATGATCTCTTGTGTTCTGCCGAATTCGGGTAGAGTTTTGCTGCTCAATGGTAGAGGAAGTTGGGATACAGAACTCTCTGAAGCATCGTTTGAAGTTTTCATCCAGAAATGCATAAAGGACTGGGTTCAGGCAGCTGTTTGTATAACCTAGAGCAATGCAGAAGTGCCAGGAGACAGTCTGAAAAGTAGTTTCGGGGATTGTAATCAAGGCTTTAATTATGACATAAATGTGAATGGGAGTCCAGCAGATGATAAACACAGCTACAACCACTAACACCATTCTGGTGATTCTTCGCAGGTTCCGATCTTTCTCTTTGGAGCCAGAGAGCATACGCACACTCTTGAGACGTAAGATCATCAGCCCATAGCACACTGTAATGATGAGGACGGGCATGATAAAGGCAAAGATGAAAACACAGATTTTCAAAAGATTCTCCCAATACCAGGTTGGGTGAGAAAATGTTAGTGTACAATCTATGGAACCTAGAAGAAAAAAAGCACAAGGAAGATTTAACAGCAACATCGAATCATTTCATTGTAAATAATTTGTCACACTTTTCAGCCCTGACCAGTGCTAATTTAAAGAAAATTATACTATATAAACGGATAGAGGAGAAATTGAAAAAAATCAAATTAAAGGAATTAAAGATATTAAGGGTGAAACTCAACAATCTGTTGTTTTTCAGCTAGAGCTATTTTATTCTTTTTATTCAAAACATAATTTTTTCTCACTTTGATCAATTTAGATCTCACCATGAGTTAGATCTTCTATGGAGTCCACATTGAGATAAAATATATAATTACTGTCCAAAATCTGTAGCAAATTAGTTAATGGCTATTTTCATTTCACTTTTTGGTGGTGTTTCATCACTATGACATGAAGTCTGAAAAGATTAAATTATCCAATAGACCAAAAAATTGGAGATAAGTCTCCACTTGATGTCCCTTGTGGTTAAGTTCTAATTATTCTTGAGAGTCATGGCATTTTCTCATCATTTTGATAATGTAAGAAAGTGAAATCACAAACTAATAGATTATATTCTATTTAAAATAGCGGGTGTTAAATAAAGGGAAAAATCTTATTTCAAAGCAATAAAGATATCATGCTAGAAGGAATCATTAAAATTACAATTTGATTGAGACACTAGGTGATTCCATAAGTTTTGCTTATCCTATGATTCAATTAACATATTGTTTAATAAACATTCCATCACTTTGGCCTATAAATCACTCACCATGCCTATATTTTGTAGTTGCCATGAACATAACAGGCAGACCAATGGCTGAAGAGAGGATCCAATTACAGACATTGATAATTTTGGCATTATGGGGAGTACGAAAATCCAGGGCCTTGACAGGGTGGCACACTGCAATATAGCGATCAACACTCATGGTGCAGAGGGTGAATATGCTGGTAAACATGTTATAATAATCTATGGAGATCACAATCTTGCAGAGAGTGGTTCCAAAGGGCCATGTTCCCAGTAGGTAATTGACGCTCTGGAAGGGAAGAGTACTGGTTGCTAAGGCATCTGCCAGAGCAAGGTTGAAAATGTAGATGTTTGTGGCAGTCTTCATTTTGGTGTATCTAGGAGATGAACGGAGAGCAATGATGGAGTCAGAAAAGATGCCAGTGTGGACATACATAAATATGTATACTTTCACATAAACAAATACTAGTTACTGCAATAGGTATGATAAATATAAGCATATCTCTTTCAAGTATCCAGACAATAGATATGAATTTATTTAAAATCCAAATGTATGAGAAAAGCATATATTTCTACACACACGCACACAAACACACACATATATTTTCTTAACATAGTGGAACAATGTATTTACATTTGCATATACAGCACTGCAATAGTGAACTGTGGGAGCAAAACAAAAGTAATAGAAGAGGTTAGGTAAGGGGAAAAGGAAGGTGTTCAGGAAGCATGCAGATACTTGTTTAATCTTACAGATGGTAGGAATTGTACATTCTAGGAAGAGAGAGAACCTAAAGAAGGCAATTGGTTATGACATGTATATTTAATGCTCCTAAAAGGTTGCAATAAATCTTATGTAGAAATATAACAGAAACCATTTCACAAAGGAATACGTATGCCGTAGTAGAAAAAAAAATTAGACGTTATCCCATCTATAATGTGGACCCTAAGATAACTTTTTTTGTGTTTATCTTTTAACAACTTTGTTGAGGTATATTTGACCTATAATTAGTGGTTGGTAATTTGTGTGCAGTTTGTTACGTTTTTATATATCACTTAGTCACTTGATTTCCCGTTAATCATCAATTTGCTCGAGCAGGCACCAGTAACATCTCCATTCGTCCCTGTCTCATGCTAGTGTAGCCCAATGGCGTCTGTTCATTCTAGGAACATGAAGAGCCTCAAGCTGATCGTTCAGGGTCTTGATGAAGAAGTCTGACCATCTTGTAGGTGGGTGGCCACGTGGTTTTTTGACATCCCATGGAATCTAGTCGGTAATGGCTCTAGTCCAGCAGTTGTCTCCAAATCTTATTACATGTACAGCCCATCTGATTTTCGATGCCTTGGCAAACGAGACAGCATCCCTGATTCCTGATCATCGACAGAGGTTGGAATTCTGGATTCCTTCTCTCATTTGATGAAAAGTGATACTCCAAGCATAGCTCTTTTGATTCCTCTTTGGGAGACCCGAATAGCATTCTCATCCTGTTTCCATAGGGCCCATGTCTCTGAGGAGTATGTTAATGCAGGAAGAACAGTGGAATCCAAGAGATGTGCCCAGAGCCAGAGGCTCTTCATCCTCTTAGCTATTTCTTTGACACTCTTGAAGGTGTTGTAAGCTGCTCTCTTCCTCCTGCACAACTCAGGTGCCAGGTCATTTGTCATGTTGACTTATCGACCTAGGTACACATAACTGTTACATTCGGAGATGGTCATTCCGTTGAGAGCGAATGGAACGTCAGGAATGAAACTATTTCTCATGTCTTCATGAGATTCATCTGTAGTCTGACCTTTCCACACTCACGGTCAAAGTCAGCCAGCACTTGTGCTTCTTGGCTAATGTTTGGTGTTATTAGATGAAAGATAACCATTCGAGCAAGCCAGTTTCTGAAAAGGATTCAGCACGATCAACCATATCCACACAATAACCAAGCTCATTGAGATTTCTTGGGAGTTCAAGATGCCGCTGTGTCTAACGTTCATTGATTTAAAGAAGGCCTTTTATTCTGTTGAGACAGAAGCTTTCATCGAAGCCCTAGCCAATCAGGGCATTCATACTCAATACATCAGGAATCTCCGTGAGCCATATTACAGATTCACTACCAGGATCTCACCATTTTACAAAGAAGTGATCATCAATGTCAAGAGAGGGGTTCGGCAGGGCGATACCATTTCACTGAAACTCTTCCATGCCACCCTCGAGAACATCATGCGATGACTGGAATGGGAAGGAATGGAAGTGAAGATAGATGGTCGGCAACTACACCACCTCCACTTTGCTGATGACATCATTCTAATAACACCAAACATTTTACATATATTTACAACTTTATAAAACCATCCCCATGTTCATGATTAGCGATTAACGAACTTTGACTCGCAATCCTCATCAAAGTGCTGCCTTTTTGGTAAACATTTGTACTGGAAGACAGTTAAAGCCCACTTAATCACTTACTCTATGTGATTGCGAAGTAGAATTTTGCACGAAGGAGACAGTGGTCTGATTCCGTGTGGAATTTTGGGACAACAGCGACATTGGTCAGGCAAAACTGTCGATTGAATATGATGTGGTCAATTTTGTTGTGGAACTGTCCACTGGAGACTCCCATGTCCAATGTTTAGATTCGACCTTCTGGAACTGTGAGTTAGCATGGATGGTCTTGGTAGACATGATGAACTCAGACAGTCTCTCACCCTGTTCGTTCCATTCTAGGCAATGGGTTCTGATGTGGAATTCTTCAACTGATCTTTTCAGTCCTATCTTGGCATTAAAATCACCCACAATGATCTTGTAGAAGGTGTGATCTTCTTTATAGAACTTCTCCAGCTCCATGTAGAACTTCTTAATTCTTCCTTCATCATAATCGAATGTTGGTGCATAGACAATGAAGATAGAAAATGCCAGCAGTGAGCCACATCTATTCAAGTGTAATCGTCCGATTCAGGTTGTTAAGCTTTTGAATGAAATGATGTTTATGGCCAAGTTCGTGTTGACAAGGACACTGACACCACCGACCCCTTTTTTGTGGCATGTTCTGAGGAAGAGTTCCTCTCCAGTGTCGAAAACGGCATGATTTGATTGATGCCTTCTTGTCTTGGTCAGACCAATGATGTCATACTTGATCTTTCTCTCTTGCACCATCAGATCCTCGATGGATGCATCCGATGCCAGTGTACGTGCATTGAAATCACACACAGTCACTTTTGTCCTTCTTCATTTTGGCAGCCTAGTTTGGCCCTGAGATTTTATCAGCCTTTCCTTCCTCCTCCTTCTTAAAGCTGCCATATTGGTGGCTCTTTCAGGGTCAGGGGAATGAGACCCATTGTATTTACTGGTTTTGGCATATTGTATACAACACAGATAGCTTGCCAGGCTCTGCCATGCAGCGGGATACTCTCTGTAGCTTGCCAGGTCCTCTGAGAGGGATAGAGGCTTTTAGGGCAGCCACTAATCACCCTTGAAGGTGTTCCCATGATTCAAACCATATTTCAACCCCATCAAATATGGTGCAGTAATCTTGTATTAAGTGTTATATGGTACGGAAAGTGTCCTGGAGTGTGGCGGTGGCTGGGTAGTGGAGGCAGTGGAGGTAATGGAGGTCTGCTGGGCTGCTGAAAGTAGGTAGAGGATCTCTGTTCCTGGTCCACCGAGTCTGGAGTCCAAGGTCACAGAATTCCACTTCCCTGACTCTGTGGGGCTTCACTCGTGCATGAGTCTTGGCCCAAGTGTTCGGAAAGCATCCTGGAGCATGGCGGCTGCTGGGTAGTGGAGGTAGTAGAGGTAATGGAGGTCTGCTGGGCTTGGAATTCACAAATCCAACTGGGATCAGACCACCGTCTCCTTCATGCAAAATTCTCCTTCACAGAGTGGGGAGAAAGGGATGCAAAGTTTAAGAAGAGAACTCCTAGAATGACCACCAGCTGGGAGCTCTTTGGCACTATTGCTGTAACATGGGAAGATACTGTCATTGACAACACTGATGAGGAATACGATTGACTGGTTCTTTACCTCCATGATTGTGCGAAAAATGCCAAGTGAGAGAGAGAGAGATAGCCACAAAAAAATGCCTGTTTTCGAAAACTTTCAAGCTCATTCGGCAACGTGGCTTGGCTCAAGCCTTAGGCAACTGCAAACAAATGTCTGAACTCGCAAAGCAGTGCGGAGAAGTGATAAAGGAAGACCTAAAGAGAGAAGAGCAGCAGTGCTGGAAGATGAGGCAGAAGCTGGTAAAAGCATTCGAATGCCCGTCTCTCCTTCACCAACTACAAGACCAAGATGACTGCCCTCCGATGTCATGATGGGTCTATCACATCTTCCAGAAGGGCAATGGAAAAGATTATTCATGACTTCTACTCGGATCTCTTCCATAGCTATGTTCACCTGCCCACACACCAAATTCCTCAGGATGGATATGTCCTTCCCAATGTTCTCCCTTGTGAAATCCAACACGCTATTTCATTGGTAAAGAAGTGAACAGCACCTGACCCAGACAAGGTCAGACCTGAACACCTGAAGAACCTGCTGTCAGTACTCATCAATACACTGGCTCGGCTCTTCACATGCTACCTGGTACCTCTCTGAATGCAAGGTTCCATCTCAATGGAAAACCAGCAGGACTGTACTACTATATAAGAAGGGAGACATCCACGACAATGCCAACTATCTCCTGATCTGCCTGTTGTCTGTTGTCTACAAGCTGTTCATTCAAGTCATCCTGAATAGGATCGACAGAACACTAGATATAGGACAACCATGTGAGCAAGCCAGTTTCCGAAAAGGATTCAGCACAGTCAAACATATTCAAACAATAACCAACTCATTGAGGTTTCTCGGGAGTTCAAGATGCCGCTCTGTCTAACCTTCATTGATTTAAAGAAGGCCTTTGATTCTGTTGAGACTGAAGGGTCATTGAAGCCCTAGCCAAACTTAGTACATCAGGATCCTCCGTGAGCTGTATTGCAGATTCACTACCAGAATCTCACCATTCTACAGGGAGGTGATAACTGACGTCAAGAGAGTGGTTCGGCAGGGTGATACTATTTCACCAAAACAATTCAGTGTCACCCTCGAAAATGTCATGCGATGACTGGAATGGGAAGGAATGGGAGTGAAGATAGATGGTTGGCAACTACATCACCTCCATTTCGCTGATGACATCGTTCTAATCACACCAAACATAAGCCAAGCGGCACAAATCCTGGCCAACTTCTACTATGAGTGTGGAAAGGTTGGACTACAGCTAAATCTCACGAAGACAATGTTTATGAGAAACGGTCTCATTCCTGACGTTCTATTCACTCTCAATGGGATGAACATCTCCGAATGCAACAGTTATGTGTACCTAGGTTGAGAAGTCAACATGACAAATGACCTGGC